TGACGTTGTGTAGTTTGGAAAGATGATCTGTCGTGGATCGAAATTGTCTGAATCCACTTTGGTGGTTTGAGAACCATTCTTCGTCGAGGGCCCATTTCAGTCATCGATTCACCATTTTCTCCAATAATTTTCCGAGGTTGCATGTCAGAGCTATCGGGCGATAGTTCGAGGGTTTCGCGTGATCTTTTCCTGGTTTAGGAATAAGGACCACTGTAGCCAGCCTCCAACATTGAGGAAAGGATTGAGAGTTCCATATTAAATTATATATTTTTAGAATGTATTGAAGGCTGTTCGTACTCAGATTTTTTATTAAGAGACTTGGGATACCATCTGGACCAGGGCTTGAATTTTTCGATAATAACAAAGCGAAGTTGAGTTCATCCATGCTGAAATAGGCGTTTATGCCAATGGTAATTTTTTGATCTAGAACTTCATCGTTACCGTGGTAGTCGTGCGACTGATCTTCTACTTCGTCTTCTCTTATTGAGCTTAACTGTTGTTCTTGAAGGGATTTGAAAGCTAAGAAATCTGGGTGGTAGTTGGAATTGCTCGAGTTGTCTGCGAAGGATTTTGCGAGAAGATTTGCAATTTCCGAAGCGTCACTGATGGATTCATCTGCGGAATTTATTAGCACCCGAGAGATTCTTGAGTATTTTTGTCCTTTAAGTCGGCCTATAGATTTCCATATTTCATTGGTTGACATTTGTCGCTTTTTCATTGAAGATATGAGAGTTTTCATGTAATTGAAATAGGATTCTTTCAAGGTTCTTCTCGCTTTCGCTCGGAGTCTCTTGGGTTGAATTTTGAAAGATTCGTTGTCTTTATGTTTTTTATATTTATTGAACGCCTTTTTAGATTCCTTGATAGTGGCCGAGCAGAGGTCATTCCACGACGGGAGCGCTTTTTTCCTGTATTTATTCGAGACTGTTGGGATGTTATTATCGGCTGCTTCAGAGATTAATTCTGTGATTTCTGTTATTAGTTCGTCTATAGATACACCTGATGAATCTGGTTCTGCTAAATTGCTTATTAAAAGGTCAGAGTATTGCCGATATCCTATCCAGTTTGCTTTATTGAAGTTCCAGGTGAGCTTTCGGCACTGAATTTTGCAGGACATTTCATTTCTATCTTCGATATCAGGGGAAGAACATTGGATATGAAGAGGGTAGTGATCACTATCGTTTAGATAATTATCTACTTTCCATTCTATTCTTGAGGCCAGTTCAGCCGAGCACACCGTTAGGTCAATGGAACTGGAGTTCCCGCTTGCTGTACAGAAATGGGTGGGGGCGTTTGAGTTCAATAAAATCAACTCATCGTCCTGTATCCAATCTTCCACTATTTTTCGACTGCTGCATGGTCTGGATGTTGGGTTCCCCCGTAGGGGGCTGTGACTATTAAAGTCACCGACTATTAGGAAGGGTTTGGGGAGTTGATGGAGTAGGTCTTCAAGGCTTCCAAGGTCCAGTGTTTGGCTGTTGGGGAGGTAAACATTGCATATCGTGATTTGATTAGGGACTCTTACCCGTATTGCGATAGCTTCTAAGGTTTTAGTAAATTTTACTTCTTCATTTGGAATATTTTCCTTCACGTATATAGCCACTCCTCCACTTGCCTTACCATAGTTGTTTCTATTTACGTACCAACATTTGTACCCTCCAGGGTTGCCAGATGGCGATTTTTTCCAAAAATTGTTTTTGGTTTTTCAAGAATAGGATAGATGATAGC